CATTGGTTTGTTGACGGATCCTGTCTTCTTGCAGTCACAGCCTCGTCTTGAACAGCATTCACCTCTCAAGTCTATTTTATCACCAGATAGTGATGTCATGGGACCTGGATCACCCATCAGCAAACCACCCTCAGAGGGGACAACACCTACTCACCTCTTACCTCAGGTATTATGTGGTCCAGAGCCATCCGTCTTCATGATAACCCAACCACAGTCACCCCAGGAAGGAAAATGTAGGCAGGAGGTAAAGCTAGGAACAAGTCAGCCTCCCATACAGTCAGAGAGAGAAAAGAAAGCTCTTCTGGGTGTCCTTGACCCTGTTCTGACTCCTATTTTCAATCCAAGGCATTGGTCTCCTGCCATACCCAAGTGATGTCAAAACTACCACAACCCCAAATTTCTTCTCCATCCTCTCCAACCTGAGGGGAGCCCCTACTTTGGTGGAGGGACTGTGGTTGAGAATCTGAGAGTTCATTTCTCTCAATTTGCTACTTATTTCTGGAAACTAGAAGATGGCAAAACTCCAGGAGACCCATCTTCCCAAGGCCATACAGAATGTCCTATTTATCTTTGCAAATCCAGAGGCACAGGTCTTCCTACCTCTCTCCTGTGGGGCTGCGTCTAATACATTCACTGTCCTATCGATGTCCTGATTGCTTGCATCTATGGCCCTCATTCCATCATCCAAGTAGCAAAATGTGACATTCGGAAGTTTTGGGTCCTGCTCTTGTTCTAGAAATGTTTCAAAAGTCACGGAGGGAGGAAGCCAAAGGAAGCTTCAGTTTTGGAGTCAAGCTGCTCTCCAGTAATGGCCCTCACATTTGCTCCAGGGCTAAGAGTCTCTCTAAGAATTTTGAACCATAAAAGTTACATCAACGGCACCTCCCTTCTCAGTCCTCCCTTCTATTTCTACACCTATGAATATGACTTTGGTTGGAGACTTTGCCGGGTCAGGGGTTCGCAGAATGACCAGGGGAACATGTTAACAATGCCTATTTCCCTGTCCCATCTTCCATGAACCCAGTTTGAGAGATATTAAGTAGGGGCTCAGAAATATGATTTTTTTAGCTGCAGATCAGTTGATTTGGAAACAGGAAGTCTGACACCCCATTTGATCACTGGCCTAGGTCAAAGCAGACCCTTCCTAAATCCTGAAGAGGATCCTACCCTTTTTAACATACCCAAGTGTTTTTTTTTGTTTGTTTTTCTTTTTATTCCTTTCATACTAAAATACTCAACGCTATATGCTGTCTCTAGGCCTGTCAAATACCTTAATGCCTTAATGAGGCAAAAAAAAAATCTGCTTTGGATTTGTAGAATTGCTCTTCTTCAACTGAGGAACAATTTTATTATCCACATTATATTCCTAAGGATACAAGAGGGAGAGAAGCTTTTGCCTTTAAGAGCTCACAAGCTTATGGAGGCACTGTCCCTTGAACCCAGCGATGACAACATGGCAGAAGAGCTATGACTACAAAGACAGGCACAGGTTGCTGGACAAGTAGCAAAAAGGGTCATTAGCTGAGGCAAGATATTAGATAGGCTTCCAGAGGAGGTGGCATCAGAAAAGAGCTTTGGATAAGGAGGAGACATTCATCAGACCAAGAAGATAAAGAAGGAATAGTTTTGTCAAAGCTCAGAGCACAGCAGGTGCACAGCATTCAGATAACTTAGAGGGGTTCAGCAGGTCCAGAGTCGGGGCTCAGGAGAATGACAAGGTGGGTTGGTCAGGTCCTGCTGCCCTAACAAACTGCCACAGACCGAGTGGCTTATAAACAACAGAAATGTAATTCTCATAATCCTGGAAGCTGGAGGTCTGATATCATAGAGCCAGAAGATTCTCCCAGAGAGGACCTGCTTCCTTGCTTGTACACAGAAGTCTTGTCACCGTGTCCCCACTGCGGAAGAGACAAGAGTTCTTTGGGTCCTCTTTTTAAGGGCATGAATCCAACCCACGGGGACTCCATCCTCATCGACTTAATTACTTTCCAAAGACCCCACCTCCTAATTCCATCACTCTGGTGGTTAGGATTTCAGAATCTGAATTTTGGGGACAGGGGACACAAACATTCCATCTACAGCACAAGGAAAAAGGACAAAGGGGTAAAGCAGGAGGTAATCATGCTTAGAAATTTGGGGGGTCATTGACTGACTTGAGAGGAGCCATTGACCAGCTCCAATGTATACAGAAGACAGGTCACTGTGGGAAAAGACTGGTGCTGTGGTCACCTCACATAACCAGCCCAACTAGCAAAGAAGCTCAGTGACACCAAAGGTCTATGGCTGTGGCCCTCTGTTCCTTTTTTAAATTGAATAACAAAAGTTTAAAGTTTCCATTACCCATCGAAATCAGCTGACAGCTTTAATCTGATGGCAGCAGCTGTGGTGCTGTGACTATTCATGACAGTCTTTTGCCAGCAGACACAGCGAAGGTGCTTGGCATGACTTAACTTGGTTTTATTTCCTTATTTTAGAAATCTTCTTTCTGTTAGACCCGTCTTCTTCTTATAAGCTCCTGACAGATCCTTCGTGTCATTTTAAGACAATGTATTTTCAGCTTGAAAGTGGAGTAGCTGCTAACTATTTAACGCCCTTAAAACCCAGCTGCCTGCCACAGCTCCCGGATGTAGCGGATCACTAGGGTGGAGCCCAGACCCCTTGCTGTTGCCTTAATCAGTACATTTGCCTTAATCAGTACATTTCCCTTCTGCTATCCACTAAGACCTCGCCCCTCCACCCACTAACATTTTTCTGATTCTTTCAGCTCCAGTGGCTGACCTTGGAGATAACCTCCTCTGATGGTCTGAGCAGAATTATTTCCTCTCTGGGCTTCCAGACATGTCCCCATATAATAGGTGGGGAAACTGAGCCCCTAAGAGGCTGCATAAATGACCTGGGTCACAGAGCTAAGATATGTTAGGGCTGGGTATGGATGGATGTGGAGACACCTAAACCAGCTTCTAACCACGGTGCAGTAAATCCCATGGCATGTAAATCAGCCACTTCATCGGGATCTATGGAATAAGATAATGACTGGAGATGGGAGGGTCAACAGGATCCAGAGCAGCAGGGGGTGACAGAATCCCCAAACTGAAATGATCTTTGGATTGGCAATTAAGAGGACGTTGGTGATCTTCAAGAGAGTAGGTAGAATCTCCTCTCTGTCCCCAGGTAGGCTGAGAGTGCCCAGGGCAGTGCCTTCTGAGTTGGCTCTTGCACAGATTCTCTTTGGCACCCCGTCGACACTCCCGCCCAAACAGATGACCTCAAGCCCTGACTCCACGTGTCCCACTGCCCCCCATTAATGAGCAAAGGAGGCCGTGAGTGAGACACAATCCCAGCCCTCAAGAGATGTTGGGCGGAGAGGAAATGTTAAAGACAGAAACCCAAAACTCAGCCCATAGCTTTGAACTTGGGCTGGGGCCAGGAAGGGGAGGAAAAGAACTTTCATTGGCTACAAGCACCACATCAAAAGTAAGTGAGACATGAGCGCTGGGAACCACATGAAGAGCCAGCGCGCCAACCTCAGCAAGCCACCAAGCACTCAAGAAGCTCCTTGGTAGAACTGAAGCTCCCAGATGAAAAACAAGCACCGCTGCTCTGCAGTCTAAATCACCTCAAAAGAGACTCACACACCAAAAGAAGATGAAACCCGCCTTAAACATGCACCCCACCCTGCTCACTCTCGGCTTCTTTCACCGGCAGAACCAGCCTCCGCTAAATAGCAGAGGGCCCGGGAGGGAGGCTGCCATCCTCTACCCATTCCTGCCATCTGCATGTTGTAGAACGTGGTCCCAAATGTGCCGGAAGGTGACATGGTGCTTAATGTCTGTGTAGCCAGCCAGCTGGACCACTGAGCTCTGCCACACTCTCAGCGCCAGGAGGCTACAGATTCCTGCCTCTGATCTCAGCGAGGCGCACTGACATCTCTTACCCCAGAAAGAGATTTGATATTGGGCTTAATGGACTTACAGTGCGTTCCTTTCTGATCACGGAGAGACCTCCCATGGAGACTAAATATGTCGAAGAGAAGGGTCACTGCCCCTGCAGGGAAATGTGATCCCAGCACAACCCTCATTGCTGGCAGCAGAAAGTTAAAGGAAAGCACCAGAAACAAGGCAGCGAGTTCAGAGTCGGCTGGCGGAGCTCCATTATATGGAGGTTCTGCTGGCAGCAAGAAGCGTGGGGTGGGGAGGGGGGCCTTTCAAAGTCATTTAACACTTGGCATTTGAGAGCATTTTGGTGCTTGTATTTAATCGTGGGTGTGTCTGGCATTTCTATAATTCACAACACATGGGGGCCCAGTGTGAGCACTTGAATCAGTAGGAGGTGGAGAGCTAGTCCCTCTCCCATCCATTCCTGCCCAGTTAGCCCCTGATTCCACAGGGGGAGGAGTGGTGATGGCCAGATTCCCCGCTGAGGACAGCAGCCCAGGAGCCTGCTTAGAAGAAACAGTCCTCTCTAAGGTGGGGAGGCTCCTTCTGTCCTCTACCAGGAGGGACAGGAGCAAGAGAACAAATGGACTCAACTGTCCTTCCTTCCTGGAGTTGAACCAGGACAGAAGAAGTTAGGACCCACACTAGAAGATCCTGAGACCCCTGAGATGTCCCCATGCCAAGGAAGTCCACGGAGACAAAGCAGGAGGCCTGCTTTGTTCTCTGTATGGGTTGTCCTCTGTCCTGAAGGCTCAGCACAGCCCAGGAACCCCGAGTACCATGGAGCTCAATCAATGAAAGGAGATGCCCACTCTTCCGGAGATGGGATCCATGTGCTCCTAAGGAGAGGTGAGGAGAGCCCTTTCCACATGGCCTCACTGGCAGGGAGGAAGGGGGAGGAATCAAAATGGCGGGCACTCCCAGACATTCTGCTCACTTCTGGAAAATTCAAGGTAGACTGGGTTAGCCAAAGCTACACAAACAACACCCGTGGATGTGTTCATAGACATAGGCTAGGGAGATTGGAAAAGATAAAAGGGAAAAGAAGTACAATAGCCAGGACGATTTATATATGAGCACATAAGGGTACCCAGAGAAACCAGTTTTATTCCTAAAGACAGTAGTTCCAGCCCCACATTGGAAGCAGAACAGGGTCAAATCTCACACTTCTGCAATCAATTATAAATAGAAGGAAAAGAGAAAACAATTTCATAGACATTTTGCGTGTAACAAAAATACATGTGTGATCTCTATATGTCAGTTTAGGGACAAGTGTTCTTTTCTAGTAAAGATTGATTAGTCCTTGTGGCATTTATCTTTTTTTAAATGATAATGAGAGAAAAATGAGACCTGTGTATAAACAAATTTACTTGGCAAGAAAATCCTACCTTGCAAACAATTCTGATTTTTTTTTTCAACTTTATCTCTAAAATTGAACTGTTCTAGAACCTATGATGTGAAAATGCAACATAATTTCTTTTTAAATTTCAAGCCTCTTGGGCAGATGTGAATTTACATCATGTGGTTTTGTCTTTTGACAGTCAACACTAGGCTGGTGACAAGGGAAGCTGATGTCCTCCAAATATTGTGTGCCACATGTGGTTCCAGACTCTATCAGGGGTCGTTAAATTCACAACATTTTTGTATGGTAAATATAAGTTGACCCAATATTTTTTTCAAAAAGAAAATGTTTTCTGTTTCTTCCTCTCCCCAGCCTGCCTCACTCCCCTGTTTCACCTCGAAGCAAGGAACCTCTTGGAGGAGACTGGAGCCCCACTAGAGGTGACAGGAGGCTAGAGCTGATAGGCCTGTGAGATGTCCTTCCAAGATTTGAGAGCTTCATTTCACCTGCATCGTCTCCTGGGAGCTTTATAACTTGAACACAATCTCATGGTGATGATGTCAAGATTCAGCTGAGGCCCCTCTGACTTGCAAGCCCCCTGTGTTTCCTGTCTCACCTCCCCTCAGCTATTATTGAGGGTTTCATACACTAAACTTGACAGAGTCTTGGGTAGTCATCCCCAAGATTCTAACTTCCCAGAGCAGAAGGAACCAAGGGAGGGTAGGTGACTTGCCAAGGCTTGCTCAGTGAATTTGATGACGGAGTCAGCCATGCCCACTCAGCCCCCCACCTCCAGCCCCTGTGCTTTCTCTGCTGCCCTTCAAGTGACCTGTGTTCCTCCTTCCTGCCTTCAGACACCAGCCACACATGGCAAGTGACAGCCACCCTCAGCAACAGACCCGAGTTGAGAACAGTGGCCGTCTTTCCAGAACCTGCCAGCTTGGGTCCCAGGCTGCCGAGGAGGCTCACCCCACATGGCTCCTGCGTGCACAGGCCTGGGAGCTGAGCTGCTCCCTGACAATTGCCAACTCAGGCCATGCCTGCAGGGGTGGGGGCCCAGGGACAAAAGGGCATTGTGCAGGAGAGGGAGGAACACACTGGCAACGTCCTCCTCTCCCCAGCCTGCCTCACCCAGCTGTCTGGTGGCCCAGCAAGGAGCCTCCTTGAAGAGGCCAGCGGCTCACTGTAGGTGACAGGAGGCTGGAGCTGACTGATTGACTTATGAGATTTCTTCCCAAGGACTGAGAGCTTCATTTCGCCTGCATTGTGTCTCTGGATGCAATGTCCCCTGAGTGTATAGACGCTGCCTTATGACATTGCCTTTAATTCCCTTCGAATGGAAACCTTTAAAAAGAGTCCAATAACATTTTTCTGAAAGGCATTCCCCCCGCCTTTTTTTTTTAAGAAGAGGAACAGAACCATTTGTTCCCAAAGGGGGCCCTCCAAATGAAGGGACCGTGGGGTGGACAGGGGGCGAGCAGAACCCATTTTAATAGCATCTTCTCTGCTGAATTGTGTCTTCATTTTACACTGTGGCTTTATTCTCTGCCCCTTTGACACTGCCAGCTGCCTTCACATTCCAGCTCAGAAACAGGCTGGCTTCAGGCAGTAACAGGCACCAGCTTCCAAAGCCCTTTCTCTGGATGACTCACGTTAGCCTGTGTGAGCCTGCGAGCCCCACGCCACCGCCATCCTTAGACCTTTGTTCCCTCTGCAGAGCGCACTGGGGTGTGCAAGGAGGTCCTCACTGTGTCCGCCCAAGTCGCCTGCCTGACAAGGGCCCGAAATAAGCGATTTTGCAGTGGAATGTCTGGATCCTATCTCGTTCAGGTTCATCCTGTTATCAACTTGGCAGATGGAGGAAGTGACATCATGGGCCCAGCTCTCCTTTGAAGCTGGAGGTGCATACCAAGACGTTGTGGTAGTGCTCACTAGGGGCAGGAAGCATCACGCTTGGACTTCTGTTAAACTATTAAAAAATAATAATAATAATAGGTTGGGCCATCAGTTTCTGCATTAGAAGTTTAAATGCCATTGTTCAAATGGTGAAAAAGGCCTTTTGTGAATTCTGTTCTTAGCCTGGAAGGTCACAAAAGAAGTGGAGATGAGTACCCCCAGGTGTCATCCATGGAGCAAGCTTCCAGGTAGCAAAGCTGTTTGACACCAGGTACTGGGGATTCTTTCCCGAATATTCCAAGCCCCCAGTCTGTTCCCAGGCTGCTTTTCGACTCCTGTGCTCTCTAAGCCGGCTATCTTGGGTCTTTCTTGGTGAGTGGCGGCTCTGGGAACTTTCCGTGTGGATCTGAACAGCATGCAAAATCATTTCACTTTTAAGACAAAAGACATTTGCTTCCTGTAGCTTTCTTCACCATCTCTACCCCTCTTCCCTTTCCACCCTGCTTTCCCTCCCCTCCCCTTCCTCCAACCCCACCGCATTAAATAAAATGCTTAGAAAATGAAGGGCACAGCTGCCCTTTCTTCCCATTAAAACAATCAAGAATGATGACGAATTTAATATATTTGATTAGAGAAACTCCAATTTGGTGCACTTGAATCAGCTGCCTTTGTCTTCGGCTCCCGATGGCCCGATTTCAGTGGAATGTCCTCTGCTGTCCACTGCCAGCTCACTCGGGCTGGGAGGACACTCGGGTTTCTGGAAGCATTTGCCTGGCACGCTCAGAAATGGGGTATTTATGCTGCAAAAGATGCCAGACCCACTTTCCCCTAATCAGAGGGAGCGCCACTTTATTAAATCACGGTCACTTACTAGTAATCTTCAGAGTCGTAGCCCCGGGGTTTGGGGTGGGGGCTGGGGTTCTCTTTAGCAATATTAATTTTTCATGGACTCTACTGCTTTTCTTAGTTGATATTCACCACTGAAATTCAGGCCTGAATCCTGTACAAACAACCCAGGAGATTCTGATGCTCAACCTGTTAGGAAGAAATTCAGAGAATAATAATCACATTTACATATGGAGTCTGTTTCATTCAAAAAAAACAAATAGAAAACTAATGGAAAAGAAGAAAATGTGTCATCTTTTTCTCTATAAGGTATGATTAGAAGATTCTGAAATACTGCCCAGGCAGCCCCTATCTTGCTGGATGCTTAAAAAGGAATCGATCTCACGGGGGCTAGAGGCTGGAGAACACGGTTTATTTGCACTTAAAAGTTTCTAGAGATATTTAGAAGGACTCTCATTATATATTCTAAATAAATGTGTGTGCCACAAGAAAGTGCAAGAATGAATTAAGGAGGAGAGTTTAAATTGCTATCAAAGGCGTATTAGAATTCTTTGAATGTATTTCCAACCCTACCATTGCCAAAGTCAGATTAGACTGGAAGGCACCATTTCACAAAGGCTGTTAAACTCATTTGCTTCACTTTTATGAAGAAAAATATCTCATATCTTCTGGGATCCACCCCACAGGGCTGCCTCACTAAGCCCCTGCCCAGTGACTTCTTCCTCTGGGGATCTGTGGTAGGAAACCAAAGCCCAGGGACCATAGCCAAGTTAGAAATAGCATCCAGATTTCTGGGTCTCAGTGTCCATACTCAGTCTATTAGATGGTCTGTCAAAACCATGGACAAGGGATGCAGAGGATTCTGCTAGACTCAGGAAGCACAGTCCAGGGAGGAGAGCACCCTGTCCCCCCCAGCCCTGGTAGAAGCATCATGCCTATACCTCTCAGGTGGGGGCCAAGTTCTGCAGGGGAAATACTGCACTTGGAGACCAATGTTGCCATCAGCTCTGCAGGACTTGCAGGCCAGAGTCTTTCAAGGAGGCCTGATTACCCACTGGCTGCACATGCAAATGCACTGTGGTCATGGGGCAAGAAGAATGAGCATGACCTTCCAGGAGGGAAGATTTCCCAGTGCAGCAGCATCTTAGGGCCACACAGCAAAGGCCTCCAGGAGATGATCTGAGCCTGTTGGGGTGAGAGAGCTCTGTGCTTCTCCTCAGGCAGAACACGGCTCTGCCAGTCGCCTGAGGGAACAGAGCCCAGGCTGCAAAGTTTCATGGGGCCCTGCTGACCAATAAGGTAACTTTGGTTGCAAAAACACAACAAATGACTGATGGCATTTTACCTCCCTTGTCGGTGCAGAGTCGAGTCTGAAGATTCCTCTTGTAGAAGAATTAATATGAAAAGAATGTTGTATCCTATTATGGCATTGTGTTATATTAATGGAATGCTCTCCCCTCCCAATCTGGCTTACTGTCACCCCAACCTTGCCAACAATTATTCAGTTCCACAGCGTGTGCGTGTCGCTGTGGGGACAGCCTCTTGGGCCTGCAATTAAGAAGCCATGAACACTTCAAGCTGGGCAGAGCTGGCCCTGGCCCCGGCCCCCAGCTACACTCACGTAGACACCCCATGCTCAAGCAGTTCCACTCTGCCTCCGGGGCCGACGTGGACCTGCTCAGGAAGTTGAACACTTGGACAACCCCAGCTTTATAAACCGGCTCATTGTCTTTGACGCAACACACAGTGAGTTCCAGAAAAGGAAAACAAAATATTCTTTAAACACTGTGGTGCATTCTGTGTGGAAATTGAGAGCCCACAGCAAAGGGCTTTCCTGGACAGCCCAGAACAGGGACACCGTGGCCACGCTTTGATTTCAGTGAAGTTAAAGATCTGACGAAGTTTCTCCAGCATTTTCCAATTAGGTGAGAAGTGCTAGGGGAAAAAAAAAATGTTGCAAAGCCATTGAGTGTCTGAAGAATTCTTAAGGAGGAAAGGGTGACAGGTTCTTTTCTACTTCCGTCGGAACAGAGCAAGGAGAAATGAACCTTAGCTGCAGCATGAGGGATTCCAGTCAGATACAAGAAAGATCTTCTGGAATGTTTGGCCCTGGAATGTGCCAGCAGATGAGGATTCTGCAACACTGCTGAAGACGGAATGTGTCTGGACGTTTGGCATGTGGCGAGGGTGGAGTCCTTAGGTTCTCCAGAAGTCCCTGGCTGATGAGGTGGTGAGACGGTATTTTTTGTCAGATTCCCAGTTGTTAGGCTCTCCTCCTTGCATCTTTCTCTCAGAATGGCCGTATTTGGAGGGAACGCACTGATTTCCATTTCCTCTTGACCATTTCCAGTCTCCCCAGGCTGTGTGTAATCTTTACTTAGGAAATGCCTCTCAGAGTCACCTCTTCCTTTCCAGGCATGGCTCGGAACCGCACATTCCCAGTGCTGAACAATGGCCACAGAGGGCGTGTCTGGTTGAATTAGCTGGTGTGCGTGTGCGTGTGTGTGTGCGCGCGTCTGTGTGTTTCCCCTTAATAGAGTCCAATCCATTGCACGTATGTTTTCAGAGGCCAGGCCGATCCTCCTCCACACAAGTGATATCAGCAAACCCAGGCAGCTTTCAGAGCCAAGAAAGTCCGAGGACCAGGAGGAAGTCATTATAGGTCTCTGTGGCCGACGTGTCCAGGGCATGCACAGGCTTCCCACCCACTAGCACAGAGGGTGTGATATGGCTCGGGGCTGCCGGAGGCTGAAGGCTGCCAGCCAGCCCCAGCCAGGTGGGGACATCAACATCTCCAAAAGAAAACAGGTGAAAAATGACCTCCATTCTCCAAGATACTCTTAGCACAAGCCAAATGGAAACCAATTATTATTCCTTTGCCTAGAGTAAATCTGGGCTAAGAGAAGGCTTGTCACGCGTCCTTGCCCCAGCCCCTCACCCATACTGGCTCTGCTCGTGGGTTTGTACCCAAGCCCCCGCACCCAGCTTTCTCAGCATTCACCACAGACCCTGAGTGCCAGGCCTGGCAATCAACTCCACTAGCCTGGAAAACTCAAAAAGTCACCCGAACATCTGACTTCTCTCCTCTGCCACTTCCCTCCTTTCTTCTTACCACCAGTTACAGCATCAAAGTCTCTGCAGCTGCTCAGACACAAAGAAGCTAACCAGAAAGTGATCCCACCCACTCCTGTCTTCCCAGGCTGTAGGCCTGCAGTGATTCCATTGTTTACAGGTAGCAAAACATTAAAATGTGTGAAAACATGTTACATTTGCACAAACAGACACACAGACCCTGTTACATACAGAAAAAAAAAGGAATTGTGTAGATTAGTTATCTGAATTAGTAATTGCCAGTGTTGAAGTGGATTTAGAGGTGTCCCCCCTTAACATAGGGATATGCTCCAAGACCCCTAGTGGATACCTGAAGCCTCAGACAGCTTTAAACCCTACATATCCTAGGCTTAAAACAGAACAATTATACTGATAGACGGTAATAAAAGTACAAATTGTTTATTGTTGGAATTTCCCATATTTGCAGACCAAGGTTGACCACAGAAACCTGAAACTTCAGAAAGCAAACCCAAGTCTGAGGGGGACCTACTGACCACAAGGTAAAAATGGATTGCAATGCAAATGTACAGCTTTTGATATTGAAAACATTCAAACTTGACATTTGAGGGTAGGTTTCAAAGTGTGACTTCATCTGATCATCACAGTGATGCCACAAGGTCTCGCTTCAGATCTCCAGTGAGCCACAGGCCCTCATAAAGGCCAGTATGGTTCCTGCTGGCCAAGAGAGGGCATGAATACAGTGTTTCTCCAGCTGAAGAGGCTAAGGGCATCTAGCATGTCCTCTGAAGCCCAGGAGAAGGCAGACATGAGCCCAGACATCCAACTGACCCCTGCTGACGTCAACCACTCCTCTAGGGTGGACCATCTAGTAAAACATCTGGTGCATGTCAGTCAGCTTCCAATTACTGTAATAAAAAATGCCCAAGAAAATCAAGTTATAAAGAGAAAAATGCTCATCTGGGCACATAGTTCCAGTTCATGACCAGGTGGACCCATTGCTTCTGGGCTTTTGGTGGAGATGCTGGATGGCAACGGTGGGGAGCACCTGGCAGATCAAAGCTGCTGACCTGGTGGCCAGGAAGAGAAAAGGAGTGGAAGGGGCTGAGGTCCCACAATCCCCTTGAAGGGCATGTTCCCAGTGACCTGAATACCTTCCATTAGGGAGCACCAGTTAAACATTTCTCCACCTTCCAGCAGTGCCAAGCTGGGGACCAGGGCTTTACCGTGGACTTTGGGGGAGTATTTCAGATCCAAACTATACCAGTGCATATCAGCCAAATGCCCCAAACTCAGGGAAATATGAATCAAAAAGAAATAACAGGTGGTAGCTTTCTTGAGCTAAGAAACAGTGTCTTACTCAACCAAGTACCTTTATTGTATGACAAACATTCTCACTATTAACAATAGTTAAGAGGTGCTAGCTGCCGAATGAATGCAGGAGTAAATTTTGCCAATTCCAAGAAGGTAAGAGGAGACGAGGACTAGTATGTTAGTGCTGCTAGCAAGAAGACCACTCTGAGGGACCTCAGGTAAGTAGGACTGGTACCAAATATTTGCAGAAAATGCAGTGAGGGAATTAATTGTGAGTTTACACATATTGTCCAGGACCCATATTGCCAGATGTGCATGATAAAAAAAAATAAAAAATAAAAAAAAAAGCCTGACCCAGCTGCTGCCTAGGATCAGGAGACCCAGGATAGCTGAAACAGGAAGGATACACAACAGAGGGAATAGGGAGCAGGCTCACAGAATGTGACCTCCTCCAAACCCCTTTTGTTCATAATCATGCCCCTTGGGATAAAGGGACTTCCTTGGGGACCAATGCTATAGGCCGAATTTGTGCCCTTCTGGGGAAAGGCGGGCATGCATGCACCCCACAAAATCACATATATGTCCATGGATACCTGATCCACCATCCAGAGCACCTGCAAGAGACAGCTCTACCAAAGATTGCTGTCATTATGATCAGAATTATTACCAGTCTAGCGCCCAGCACTCTGTGATGTGTCTAATAGAATAAATGGTGACCACAATAGTTCAATAATAATAGTTCCATGTGGCAGATGGAAAAGTAAAACATGGATGGATGAAAATAAATAAAATAATTTAAAAGGGCA